CAAGTTACAGACTGAAAAAATATGGAACACCCTTAGTGATAGCGCGTAGAGCTCTTGCACTGAGGCATGTGTGCTCACAAACTGAAGGCTTGTCTGATGTATGATTGTATTGCACAAACGTAAGTGAAAGATACAATTGCGGACAGTTTCACTGATGGTGAAAGTCAGAACCAAAATAAACTATTTCGAGTGCTGAGAGCACATGTATAGAGTGTACTGTAGAGCATTGTAATCAGATGTGTGTTATTCGGCAGTGGGTCAGTATGGAGCCAGGGATGTGTTTTTTTTCCTGTGCTAGCAAGCTTGTGCAGCACTCTGGGGTTTGTTTTTTTTCCTTTTTGGGTACAAATTTCAGGGCTCCCCAAGGGATAATAAGAATGCGGGAGGGGGATCGTAATGGATTCAGTTTTGTCCTAATCAAACTGCAATGGCACTGTGTGGTTCACTTGCATTCAACTGAGCGTGATAAGAGCAAGGTGATGCAGCTGAGTCCCGGAGACGGCTTCCTCCCGGCGGCTCACAGGACAGCAGAATGGTGAACAAACATCAGTCATTTTCTATCTACATGACATTGATTAATTGTTCAGAACTGCCTTTTTGTTAGTTGGTTGCACTGCTGTTGTTTGCTTCGGCCCTCAGAAAAGGCTCTTTAGAAAGGCAGATTTAATGTGGTTACCGCATAAGAAACAGCTGAGAAAAATGGAGTGCGTCGTTTCATTAGCTGCCTTTACGAACAGAATCTCAGGGTTCTGTTTTGTGAAGTCAGCTGTGATCTGTGAAATTATTTGACTCCACTTATTGTATTGCTTTGTTTTAAATGTTCTAAAGGGTTAGATTGCCGTATGGATTGATTTAAATAGTGGGATTTTAATTCTCTTAGAGGCTCTTTAGTCTTCACAATTTTTAAAACATTCAACATAACAGGGTGCTAAAATATATCAAATAATTCATTTTGCATCAGTTCTGACAATCTGTCTGTTCCAACTAGGTTAAACGTGCTAGCTGGAAATAAGCTATAATGCCCTTTTTTCTTTACCTTGTCCTTCTACCTGGCAAATCTGTCTCTATTTAAGTAATCTGTGAAATCATTTTTGCAATTCTTTGCAAATCGCATTGTATTATGTCAGTCATTTGTGTCCTAATAATAACGCTGCACAGGAATTGAAGTGGAATCTCCAACTAACTGTTAAATTATCAAAAAAATATGAAATTACTATTTGATCTTTTGTACAGCGTTGGTACCACAGTCGTTCTTGTTGAAAAGCTTTCTCAGGTGTTTATACTGCAGCCTTTGAGAAAATACCCTGTAAGTTTACTGTTTGTGGATGCAACTGAGAATTGTGCCAAATGGAGAATTCTACAATTCTTACTGAATTTTAAACTGGCTTAGTTTTCAAATTGCTATTTGTTTTTGGTTTTGCGGTAAGAATATTGAAAATTTCAGCTTTTTAGCAGAAGATAAACAATGGTGTTTAAATCACAGTGAGTAATGAACAGCTGGGAAATACTTTGGATCCAGTGAGATGGAAAAGTGGTAACAGTGGATGTGGCTGGTGTGAGGGATGAAGATGAATGGGGCAAGGGAGGCCTGATGGAAGAGCAGCGCAGAACTTAGTGCTGTAGATCAAGATCATGCTCTCCTATAATGTCTTTACAGAAACATCTCTTAATTGTAATTCTTGTGGTTTTGAAATGGTGGTTTGAAGTGGCTCCAACGATGGGCTCCCGAAATATTTACAAATCTAACTTAAATTTCAGGTATTATTAAGGATGGAAAATAAATTGATCTTGGTTTTTTTTCTAGTAACCATAAGCAGCAATCTTCACAAAAGCATAGTGAAATTGAGAGATCTGCTTGGTAACCTCATTTAAAAACGAGACTAACAAGCCTGTATAGATAATATTTCCTTGCAGTATGAGGCAATATCTGTATTTATGTATTTTTTTTTCTTTAGATACTAGAATATTCACTGAGTGCGTAGTTTCCTAAAGCTAAAAAGAACGGAATATGTATATTGGTCATCAATCTGGGGCCGGGGTATAGAAACAGAATTTGTCACTCAAGAGCTTTTGCAATGACATGTAAGTTGCATAAGTTTGAGCTGTAACTGACCTTTTGAATATCTCACTGAAGGCCACCAAAGAAGATATCCCAATTCTTGTAGTCCCCCAATGTGTTACAGAAGGTGGAAGTCCTCCAGCTTCAAAATTAGTCTCTTGCTGGGACATGTCATTTCAGATTTTACTTGGAAACGTTAATGCTGTTAGCTTAAAGTTTTAATGTTATTTTTTTTCCTAACATAAATATGGGGTTAATTTTAAAATTTCACACATTGTCAGATTTAAAAATTAAGAATCCATTCTGCCTCTCTGCAGTTTAGGCCGTTGAATTTCACTTGCCTGTGAATAAGTAAAGTATAAAATACTAACCTGAAGGTATTTGGGTTCAGCCTCTGGGTTGTATCTTGAGCTGTTTTCAAAACTATGGTTTAGTTACTTTTGTATGTGACAAGTCTGAAATCATTCCTGTGTTAATCTGAGTTTGAAGTAATCTTTGGTCCACAGTGTACTATAAGTATTTAGGTAGTTCAAAAAAACATACAAATCTAGTTGTTTCCACTTAGAGATGTTGATACCTTCAGACTTCAAGCTTTTAGTCCAGACGCCAAAATTGGGAAGCCATTCTTCACACATACATACTTGAAATTGCCGTGTATGTAAATATTTCAAATACTGAGATGTTTAAAAAGTAATCTTTTCATATATGCGCAATGTTAATGTATTTAGTCACATATATCTATATCAACAAAGAAATTTGCATTTGCAAATAAGTCTGCAGTTTGCTTCCATTTCTTTACCTCTTGATTGGTTTTCTCTTTGCATGAAACTGAAGACTTGAAGGTAAAATCACAGCCACACTAATGGTTTTGGAATTTATTAGCCTCTCTCCAGTATTTAGTGGGGACCTCGTATCTGAAATGTCAGTTGTATATGGTTTAGGGAAACTTATGAAACTCTTACCCCCATAGCTTCGCTCTGCAGAAATCCAAGGCTTTTCTTTTTGTTACCCCCCTGCTTCCCAGTCCAGCACTCAAGTCTGGAAGATTCTTATGGCACTGCCCAGGGATCATGGAATTTGCTGGCTTTTTGTTGGGGTGTGGGATGGGGGTTGGGGGAAGCAGAGGAAAGCTAATATGAAAACTATACTCTTTGATGTCCTCTTGCGCTGCCTTCTCTGTAAATTTGTGCTTCATACTCAAAAATATGAATATTGTTAATAACAGTAGCTTCTTAAGTGTGTGGAATCAAGAACCCTGTTGAAAGCTTGGTCTCTCAAAACTGCTTTTTGAATAAAACTTTCAAATAAGCGGATAGTAAACCCTAGGACTAGCTATGTGTGGATTTCAGTTTGTGTGACTTTTACGTGATAGACACAAACTTTGAAGTCTTGTTTTAAATTTATATAGCGTGAATCAGTTTCTGGAGCTCCTGATATCCGTAAATCTAGTTTTCTGCTATCTTCTTATTATAAGCATCTTAGATGCGAGGGGGCGAAGAAGGTAAGAACAGCTGTGCCTGTAGAGAATTGGATTCATTATCCCTTCGTCTTGTCCTGTATAAAGTTTCAGAAGGTTGCATAGCTATAAAGGCTTTTCACATCTTACCCATTGAGTGTGTTTGCATGACAATAAAATGGACTGTTAGATCATGAAATTGGACTTACAGATCCACAAATAATCTGCTGTCTTGTGTGTGAAAAGTAAAACGTCTCTTCTTAGAGACTATACACAAGTTCTTAAGCCAGCACAGCAGGTTTGGTTTTTCTCTTCATTTATTTCAGAATCTGAAAGTTCTTTAAAAATCTAGAACAGACTTTTGAATTATGTAAAGAGTAAACGTGGAAGAACTTGATGTGCTGTGGAACTGTAGCTGCTGTTGGGGTGGAACCAGGCTTGATCAGCGCGGGCTGGGACAAAATGTTAAACAGAAACATCAAGGCCTGGAATTTCTCTAGGGCAAAAGCTTTTACTTAAATTTAGTAACACCAAAGGGAGAGTTGTGCCTCTCTAGATGTGACTTGGCTCTTTTCATCTGTGTCAAAGCAGTCTCTCTGGTTTTAGCTGAAGCACATTTATGCCAAGCCATATACGCTCAAGAAAGCCTGATAGTTTGTAAAACAAAACTTGCAATTAATAATGTAGGTACTTGAAATGCTGTGAAGATTTCTGTGTTAATGTTTCCTGCCAGTTAAAAATGTTATGGATTAGAGCTTAAATGCAGTACAAATACAAACCACATGGCATATGCAGTAGGAAGTGGAATAGGTTTCTGTGGTTACTCGGTTTTACTCAAAGTTGATAGTAGTGATGCGTTTAAATTAGGGAGCTCAGCAAAGGAATAACGCAATATTGAATTTTGCGGACTAGCAATTTTGCTTTTCTATACTCTTTTACTGCTGCTAATAATTTGCTGACTTCATGGATGGAAATTATGTTCAAGAACTTAAAGATGGTGTGTATAATCTCATGAGAAAACGAGTTGATATTTGAATCTGGGGGATGGGGTGAGAAATAGTACAACAGCATTTACTACCTGTCCAGCTGAGACTTGTGTGTCCCGGGAAATGTTAGGTAGTGATGTGCAGATCCAACGCAACCAGATACAAAAAGCAGTTAATGCAGCCAAGGAATACAGTGGTTTTCCCCAATCACAAGTAAAATAATTGGCGTATGAACTCTTTGGGCGGGTCATCTGAGAAGTAAAGCATCAAACATAACTCAGCAGCTCGCCAGGTTTAACTGCAGTCAGTTTGACTTAAGTTTGTTGTCAAGGCCATTGCTCAGAGCTTTGAAAACATAAAGGAAACCTTTGTAGACTTATTTAATTCTGATAAATTGGGAACACCTTCTCATTCAACATAAGGGTATGTAATACATCTTTGCTGTTACTGTGCGTGATTCAGTAATGTATGCGTACTAATTTCCTTTTTACTTTTGCAGGAGAGGCCCTGAGAGGAAAGATAACAGTCCGCAAAAACAGAAAGGATCCACGGTCGCTCTTCATAACCCTTTCAGTGAAGGACACGCAGCAGACCTACAGCCTTCAGTGAAAATTCTGCACGTATAACTTTGGGAAACGTTAAATCTAACATTTAAGTTTGACTGTTGATAACTGTTTCTAAATATCCAAAAATGGTAAACTCTTGGATTTGTGTATGTATACGCACACACAAGGATATGAAAAGTTTACCTAGAATTGCGAGAGTACGGTTTGGGTGCTTTTGCGCTGGGACGTGGAGACTGATGACAAAATCAGAGTCTGCTGCGTTTCACCTGTTGGGAAGGCAAGAAAGATGGTTTTGGGTTACGTGAGACTACAAAGTGAGAAAAATCAGATTAAAGTCTTGCTGTGCAGAATAATAAATATGGTCTCTCAATATTGTTTTGTTCTCTAGCTGGCAAAATCGTTTTGCAATTTTTTTTTTTATGAAAGAAGAAGCTAAATCATATGCCAGTGCCACCTCAACAGTAGCTGGAAAATCCCAGTGGGAGTAAGTTTGGAATTCCAACTGCAGGATTGCAGCGACGAAGACTTTATTTTTATTACACTTCTGTAATTAAAAAGTTGTATCACGTCAGTTACATTTATCTCAATAAATGAACCGAGTATGTTATATAATGCGGTTGCCGGTTTCCTTGTTTTCTGTGTAATTGGAAATTCTTCTGTCTATCCAGTGATGGCTCATTCATTTGTGGCTACAGTTTTTTTCTGTGCTAGCCTCTTGGAGCATAGGTGGATGGCAGAGTGTATTTTAGCAGATTTAGGAAAAATACCGTGAACAAACAGCAGCAGTTGCTGGAAGGGTGGATTTGGGTCCGTACAGAAACTGACTACGGACAATCAAGGATTGATGTGATTGTTGTGATGTTTAAACACTTTAAACTGCAATAGAGTTGGAACTAAGTGTAACACCATGCAATTTCTGTGCTTTTATTGTATACGCATATTTGTGTCGAGAGCGGTTTAAAAAATGGTTTCAAGAAGCAAAGGTGGCAGTGTTTTGCCTAGTAATCTCTGAACTGCTCTTAAAATAATGTTGGGACCTTTTTTTAAAGGACTAAGACAAGAAGGAAATCCTTTCCTTTGCAATCTGCTCAACAAAGTTTAGGTAATTGTATGATGGAGTGAAATACTTAGTCTTTTGCGTATAACTTAAGAGTATTACCAGTGGTAATGTCCATTTGGTAGAAAAGTGGAAACTTGTGTTCCAAAAGCTGAAATTCTCCTGCAGCACAGCACTTGCCTTCCTAAAGCGGGTGGTGAATAGCAACTGACAGTTGCTACAGTGCTACTATATTTTCAACTGAAATCAGACTTGTGGATTTGTATTTCATCTTCCACAGAGAGGGTAAAAGCAGTGTAACCATGTGGCTTACTAATTTGCATCCAGGTTAATTGTGGAACCATGTGGCTAGGGTGGGGTGAGGATTCTTTCCTTTGTGGAAAATACTGAATTACCTTTAGACCCTTAAATGTCCTGATTAACATCGAGATGTTCAAGAGCTCAGCTCACACATGCAGTGTTAATAAGAATGTTCAGGTGCTGAGCACTTCATCTGGTTAACTCATTTTAATGGTCTAAATGTGGGTTTGACCACCCATATTGACACATTGGCTATTATGTTCACCTAGTAGTAGGTATGAATTCATCGCTTGCGCTGATTTTTAGATGCCTCGATTTTATGCAAGCGAGATTGTACACAGTTTATAAATTCTGCATATTTTTCAGAATTTTGTTTTCAGGATCGGCTTTACTATAAAAATTTGGTTAACAAACGAGGCAATTGCACACACAAAAAAAGATGCCAGATTTATTCCACAGTAGTGTCTGGCAAGTATGAGTGTTCTACAGCGACAAGTAAGTCTCGGTGATCTGCTGCCACTCTTCTAGCTTGGGTGAGGTATATTGCTTTTGAAAATGCATTGATTATCTTTGATTGTTAAAATACTTGAGCCTGGTTATCTGAAACGAAAGACTGTTCAACTCTGTATAAAAATTGACCTTGTAGATGAAATGCCAGCAGTTGGCATCAGGCTGATTAATGGAGTTTGTGACAGAGTTACCGGTATTAGTAAATACACGGGCTAGAGGATGGACTGCTAATTTTGTCCATTGCCGAAAGGCGCTGTAGAAATACAGGATATTGACAGACTCAGCAAAATTCTGATACGGTCTTCTGAGTACCATGGCAACCAGAAGTTGGAAGAATCTGCATCTGATTTTGATCATCTGATCCGTAGTTGATTGCAGGAGCTTGACGTTTTTTAGTGTGACTGACGCTTTGAGATATTGGTGTTGGAGTAGATGATCTTGTCGAGGTCCATTCCAACTTTAATTTTTCAATACTTCCTCAGCTTTTGTAGAAATTGAGATTATATGTTTGTATAAATATTCCTGTAGAAGGCAAGAAAGGAAGAAAAAGACTGCAAAGGCCTATACAGAGTTTGGGTAGCCTTCAGTAACAGGAGACTATAAGTGAGAAAATGGTTGAAAGCGTGTAAAACAAAAGGAAATCCTAGCTATTATTAAAAAAACCCCAATCAAACAACCACACAACAAAAACAACAAAAAAACCCCAACAACAAAGCAAACCACACAAAACAAAACAAACAAAAAAAATCAAACCAACAAGCTGTATTAAGAAGAGAGGATTTGGTATCATTTAACCAGAAGGAAAATGCCCTGAAATGACCCTAATTAATGTAAAGCCCGAGGAGGGTGATTTGATAAAGGCATTGGAGTTTCAAAGAACTTTAAATACACGAGTGGGAATTGATCTAATAGCTGGTGTCACACAGTGTCCTGTGGAAATACCCCATCAATTATAGGTGGCTTTTCTCAACCAAGTAGTTGAATAATGCGGGATTCATCTGACAGCACAATCAGTTATTTATGTTTCCTAATTGTAATTCTGAGAGTTGAGTATTGTAGGAAATGTGATCAATAAATACTCTCTTAAAGGCACTCTAATGATTGAATCAGAGGCAGAAAAGTGGAAAGTAACTGCTTTGAGTAGAAATACCCCTGAATTTGTCCAGTGGGAGAGTAATACTGCTCCTTTAATCTAAGGCACGGGGTCAATGTGGCCAAAGGTGCAAATAATCTGTAACTGAGCTAAAAAAAACCCAAACAAACAAACAAAAAAAACCTGTGGCCATGGTTGGAAACGCGAAGTTGTGCATTCTGCATAGTTCACGAGAACATCTCTTTCTCTAGGTGGTGGTAACATCTTGTCCTCCAGCTACCTCTGCTGCACGCAGATTGCGGGTCATGTCATCAGGTTCTTGTGCAGACGATGTCTGACCTGTTTGATGAGACAGCTGCAGCTCATTGCTGTGGAAAAGCAAACAGTATCATCCTTATCTTGGGTATTTTTGCCCTAGAGAGGGTGATGAGAATCATGCGGGTTTGTTGGTATTGGGTGTTTGTAGTCTCTGCGTGTCGGTTCTGGTGACAGTTGCTGCTTGGTTGTGTTGATGTGCGCAGGCAGAGTTGTGCTTCGTCCCCCCGGTGTCTCCCACCCTTCGTGCCCTGGCGTTTCCCACCCTTCTGCTCACAGGTCTGCAACTTCTCGTGTTCTTTGACCTGGAGTTACAATACCCTCACCTGCTTCTCTACTGCCAAGGACATTTGCTCCCTACACATCCTCTTTAAATTCCTTTAATGATATGCTGATACAGCCCGGTTGTAGTTGAAACAGCCATTTGTCAGTCGTTCACGTATCGAGTTTTAAAATATTTTGTTAAAATTGGTTAAAAGTCTTAGTTTCAGACTGAGATTTACTACTTTAGTTGTGCGCTCCTGTATTCAGAAAAGAAAGGAAAAAGTGAATTGTAGAGAGCCTGAATTTCACTTATCATCTGACAGTACTTGTCAGATAAATACGATCAATAAGTCAAATAAATACCTCACAAGTATTTATCTTCTTAGTAGCAATTCCTTACGTGACAACATCTTTGTTTTCCTGACTAAGAAATATCAAATTGGTCTATCCTATGGGTTAGATCTTGCTAGCTTTGAAATTCAGATTTAGCCTTTATTTACCTGCCTGCCTTTCTTTGAGATGTGTTTCCTCCGGTCCCCTCTTCTCCCTCTCCTTCCCGCGGACGGCAAACCCCGCTGGTGGCTGCTGCTGTCCTGCTTACACTGCTCCTCCTTCCCCGTGTGTTTCTCAGCTGACACGATACACAGAACTGCTTGCTGTTGGCTCCATTTCAAAGCGTGTCTCTCTTGTCCTTGACCTTTGGGTGGGGTTTTTTTTCCTCTTTTGGGTGTTTTGTTGGGTTTTGGGTTGTTTGAGCTTCTTTTAATGTGCCCTGACAGCATTCCCTTATTTCTGATGACCCGTTATCTGAAAGCTGTGACTCATCTGTCCCCAGTCGTAGACTGCTCCTCTTCTCCCTGCTCCTTCTTTCGTTCCAAATGTTAAACATGTAGATTATTCTTGAGAGATGCAACAAACTACGGACGAGCGTAAGCTTTGCTTTAGCGGTCGGCGCTGCCCAGAGTGGGCTTGATGCTCAGGCAGGGCAGAAAGGGCATGCGGAGACAAGGAGACAGGTACAGACAATGCGTTAATTAGTTGTTGTTGCTAATTGAGAAGTGCTAAAGCATGCAAAAAAAGTCTGATTCGGACTATGATGCGTATCTTTAAGAAAAAATTAATACTAAGATTGGTAATTTCAGGTCAACGGTCAGATGCATGAAGTAAAATGAAATGATATTATGATACTTTGCTGAAGGTGTGTGCGATGTAATTTCATGTGCATAAAGGAAAAAAACCCTTTCTTTGGCATAAGCAGTATGTCAGACCCTTAATTCGATTTATAAATTAATTTCGTGAAACTTGCGCACAGTAAAGGGGCAAACACGGTGGTAATAGCACATCTGTCTTCCAGAAGGATGAAAGTTTGCCTGTCCCAAATTGTAGGTGGCAACTATCATCAAACAGGAAAAATTCTTCATTTGCACATCCAAGGAACCTGCGTGGTAAGTAGTAGCAGTGTCATGGAAGTGTCTATGTGTGTATGTTCCCGGTATTTATACTCATATATGCACCCATATATGCTCATATACACACCCATACTGGAGCTATACCGAAATTTTCCAGTTTGCACCATGCATTTCCAAAATACCAAATAGTAATGGTGCTGTTTGTAAATGCATATTGTGCTCACGGAATGTTTTGTGGATAAACTATTTTTTCTATTAAAATACACTTGTAGAATAGTTATTATGATTGTGACCCTATTGAATTATCTTTAATATCCCATAATTGTTTCTACACTTACTCTATTGAATGGAAAATCAATTAGGAAAAATGCAGGTTTGCCTATAAATGATTTTTTTGTATGTTTGCTTGGGAAAGTATGTTTTTGGTATGCTTAATAATGAAGTCCTGGAGTTCTGAAGATCATTGAATGTACAAAATTTTAGCCTTTAATCCAATAGTTAACGTTTTTCACGAGGAATGCTCTCAACTATCACTTATCAGTCTTCATTCTTGCTAATGTAATTTACATTTTACTTAGGCAAGAGGTGTTGAGTGACGTGATTCGTGAAAGTTCTTTTAATATTCAGATAAAACTGAAGGTTGGCTTCTGCCTTCTGCTTGCAAATCTGTGCCCCAAGTCTATGTACTGGAAGATAAATAACCCCTCTGAAAAGAGTGTGGGCGCTCACAGCTCCACCTCTTATTTTGATGCTGACCTACAGGGGGTTTCCCCTTTTTATGCTTGTCTTCTGCAGTGCTTTTAAATGTTTAAGCTAGCTAAGCTGTAAAACTTTTCCTGGCTCTACCCATCAGAGAGCAGCTAAGCAAGACAGACAAACTTGGAAGCTCCTGGCCCTTTATTACGGGATGCCTTCAGTGTGCATCGTGCTGGGGTCTCTAACAGGATTTTTAGTTCGACCTTCTAAATTCCATCCTGTGGGGTGTGCTCTAATGAGATGGATCCAGCTTCTGTGATCCAGATAAAAGCAAAGCCTCAACCTCAGGTAGATAAAGCTCTCCAGAGGATTCGGAAGGCTGGTTTGGGAGATATAGCTGCTAACGATAAAAGGTAGGCTGCTCGTAAGTTTTTAAGACCGTTTTTCCTTTCAAGGATGTTTCTCTGCTCTCTGTTTAATAGCGCCTGGAGCTCCCTGTAGCAATGACGCTTAACATTTTCTGTCCCTGATCTAAATTATTTGAAGGAAAAATTGCAGAAGTGTGTATTTCCCGAGGTTAGTTGAGTGTCACAGCCTAGCTGCGGCTGACTTGCTGGAAGATGTAGGAAGAGCCCACACCCTTACTGGAAGGGGGAGTTGGCAGGTCAGGAGTTCAAACAAAAGGCTTCTATGAAGACCAAAGTGATGATGATCTTATTTTTAGAAACCAGGTTTTGGGGGAACAATTTGCTACTGCTTCTACAGCATTGATAATCTGCATAATGACGGTGTTTAAGAGTTTTCAAAGGCAACCAAAAATAAAATTGTGGGCATATCTCTTAATATCCAAACCTTGAAATAAATGCTCTTCTCTTTATACAGGCATTGGCAGATGTTAATGCTGGTGAAACAGTGACACCAAGTTAAAAGACAAATATTGTATTATATGAGAAGGCAAGGAACAAACCAAAAGAAAAGCTAGCGTTAAATGTTATGACCACTACCGGTAAATTTGCAGAAGGGCTTATATGATTAAAGAGGTTTAAAAAGCAGTCAGCCTGAGTTACATTTATACAGTTGAACTGGAACCTGAAAATGGTTCCGTTTTCCAGGTTTAGTTAAAGCATTTAAACACATATTGTTTGATGGGGGTTTTTTTTTGTTTTTTTTTTTACCTTGTATAAAATTCATAGGTAGGTAATTAACTTCACAGTTAAAAGCAGTATTTTTAATGGTATTCTTGAGCAGCAAAGACAGAAGGGGCAAGGAGAAACCTTAGCACTCAGAGGTACTGTGCACATAGAAACTAAATTTTGTTACTAGACTATTTCAGAAGCTTGTGAATCTGTGAGTAACAGTCTGTCCCCTGATGTCTACCAACTGGTTCTCAATTTCTATCTGCTTTGCTAATTCTCATATATCAAAATAGAAACAAACTTCATTCATATCCCTTTCTGAATGGCAGGAGTATTATTCGGTTTCTTTGACTTACTAATGCCTCTATATTCCGGCACTCCCTGCACTCCTCCGTGATAAATGGAAAAGACTCACCCCATGGAAAAACTGTACCATGAAACAACCAACTTACAGATTTATAATGTTGCTATTGCTGTTCCTGTAACAATTAGAGGCAAAGTAAAATAAAAGACTCTTAATGACAGCAATAACAAATTAAAGAGGAATAAAGCTTACTCAACATGTTAATTCTATTTTCCACTTGGGTACTACTCGAAACATCAGCGGAAACAGTGAGAGCAAGAATGTCCCATGGAAAACACAGTAACTGAAGTGAGCCCTTCACAAGTGAGAGCTACAACCCAAATAAAATTATTCTCATTGGATTCAATTGGCAGATGCTAAAATAATCCTGCTTCACATCATGATTGAGAGGCTTTCCAATTTTTTTTTTCTTCCAGATACAGGTGAAGCTGGGGATGCCCATTTTCTTGGTGCTTTTTTTTTTTTTAATTTTTTATTTGCACACTCGCATCTTGAGACATGTTATGGTCTATACAAAATAAGGGATAGATTTTTCCTAACTGACTGGCATTAATTGGGAGAGGTCACATCTGTACACAATAGTCATGTGTAGTGAGTAACAAGGATGTGGGTGATTCGAATAGTTAGAAGATACCCCCATTTGGGACATTTCTGCTGGTGGAAACCCATCTCATGGACGTAACGCCATGTTACCCGAATATAATCTGTGCTCTGTATCAGCCCACTTGGCTTAACATTTTTTCTGCTTTAGCAGGTGATGTTCCCAGTATATATTTAGTGACCTAGATTTAAAAAAAAAACACAACATAAAATTGACAGTTCATCCAGTACTATCCAAACAAATTAATACATATTTGCTCAGGTCTTTAGTAGGATCACTCTCCAGTACTGCTGTTTTGCAGTAGCGTTCATTAAAAAGTCAATCTTACTAAGAACTACCAACTACTTCTGCCTTCTATTTCCCTGAGTGTTGCGGTCTGCCTGGATGGAAAGAAGGAGCTCCAGGGTGGCAGGAGAGAAAGGTGAGCTGATGGGAGACACACTGGAGAACTACAGGTCCTGGGTGGCGCGTACCGCAAAGAGAGCTCCCTCAACGAGTGTTGATCCAGTTTGGGTAACGATGGTTTAGGTAATTAAGCCTGAAATACAAGTAGATTTCAGTAAGTAGAATTGAACTTTGATTAAACCTTCTGATGAGTTATGCAAAGAGAAAAGCGATGAAGAGAGGGAATTTCTTAATAATATTGACTTCTGTCACAACACCAGACATTCTTGAAACAAAGTCTACTCAAGTGGAAAATTGGATGTGAGGAGGAGGACTTCTCTGCAACTCAGCTGTTGCAGCTGCGCGGTGCTGCGTGGTTGCTAATTGGTGCAAAGCCTTACATTGGGAAGATAAAGCAGTAGGAAACTCCGCTTTTTTGCCTCCTGTTAATATATGCGTTGATGTTAATTTTGGAAGCACTGTGCGTTTAGAGCATTCACAGCTGTTGTATCTACGTAGACCCCAAAATAGATGTAGCTTAGACAATAGCAGATATTATGTAGTGTCCCCAGAGGTAGAAATAATGCTCTTGCAATTGGTTTGCATGGAATTTTGACCCCCTTTAAGGTACCAGATGACGATGACTCTGGACTGTGCGATCTCGCTGGAGATAGGTGGCCCCAATCTTTTTTTACTTGTCACCTACAAGGAACAAACATCACTTGCAAGCGACAGCAAAGAGCAGCAGGGAACACACTGCCATCTGAGAAAAATGGAAGGAGTGTGGTTGCGTGGAAATATGCACGTGCCAAGGAAGGTTAATGCCAGCAGAGATAGAGGATGTTGAGGAAAAAATGGCAAGCCCCTTTGACTATCAAACCACTCACCTGTGATCAAAATTTTCTGAAGTGACTGACGATTGTAGTTTTCTTTTTTTTATTGCTGTACTGAAACTGAGATTTATTTTTGTGCAAGAGTTTGCCTTTCCGAAAGCCTAAGTGAAGGCCTCTTTGTAGTGTCTTAAGTGAAAGAAATGTTATGATTGTTTTCTTTAAAACAGACTTCCTGAATATTATTTCTTCATAATAACTTGATCAATGTTTTAATATTTAAAAGGTGTCATACTTTTTCTCATCTTTCTATATGAAAAAAACACAGGCGGATGATGTGTGCTGTAAGGGCAGTAGTAAAGTCTCAGTTTTTCATGGCTTTCAGGTTGCCTTTTAATCCATTATTGTGGTCAAGTCTTAAAATAAAACCTAGGTGCAGCATCTGGCTAAGGAATGTACCATGGAATTACGGTTGTGGTTCAGCCCATCCCTTAATGGAATTTTATGCTTTTAACACACAACAATTTTTGTGAATCAGATGTTTCATGCCTGACTTGTTCATCCATATGACAGTTAATTACTTTTGAGGTAATTGAGATGTTATTGAAGGAAGTGGATAAGAGAGCTGTCAACAGGAAAAGCTTAGCAAAATCAACGCCGTAAGATCGTCTTGTAGTCTGCTTTTGGAGTTGCCATCCGAAACCTTTGCTTTGGTCAGTGGAATAAGCAAGCAAAGGCTGAGCTGTCACAGCAGTCTCACCCTTTCTCTGTGCATGTAGATTTTTTCCTAGCAAGAAATTGTCTTGGTAGTCTACCGAGTTGGGAAAGGCATTCCATAAACTTACAGGGGAGTTGAATGGGTTTTTGCTTAAAATACCACTCTTTCATATGCCTGCCAGGATGTGGTTGGTTTTGCAGAGTTCTGCCATTGCTCCTCTGGAACCACTCTGTGCTTGAATGTTTTCAATAACTTCGTGTGTTTTTACATCTTGTTATAGCACTGCGAGTCAAATGGAAGCCTTTCCCATTGCCCGGCTAATATATTACCAGTACTGTAAACCTTGTTTTCAGTAGGTCATTGCTAGTCAATCTGGTTTTCAGCAAATACTGTAGTTGCCAGCCATATTTTGAAAACACTGAACTGTATTGATCCTTTGGAAGAGGAAACATCATAGAATAGTTTGGGTTGGAAGGAACCTTTAGAGGTCATCTAGTCCAACCCTCCCTGCAATGAGAAGGGACATCTTCAACCAGACCAGGTTGCTCAGAGCCCCGTCCAACCTGACCTTGAACACCTCCAGGGATGGGGCATCTCCCACCTCTCTGGGCAACTTGTCCCAGTGCTTCACCACCCTCAGGGTAAAAAACAATTCTTCCTCGTTCCTAGTCTGAGTCTACCCTCTCTTGGTTTAAAGCCATTACCCCTTGTCCTATTGCAACTGGCCCTGCTAAAATATTTGTCTCCATCTTTCTCGTAAGTCCCCTTTACGTCCCGAAAGGCGGCAATAAGGTCTCCCTGGAGCCTTCTCTTCTCCAGGCTGAACAACCCCAACTCTGTCAGCCTGTCCTCACAGCAGAGGGGCTTCAGCCCTCGAATTATTTTTGTGGCCTCTTCTGGACCCATGTTTTCACATCGTTTTCCCCATCTGCCTTCATGCGATGTGATATGTGGAGCTTTCATTGGTTGGGGGAGGAGGGGAAATGGTCCAGAGTCACTGTTTGATTTGTTTGTTTGATGTTCACTGTGCATTAAGCAATACTTCACCAGCCTGTTTGAAAAGGTGGTGGTGTGGAAAACCAGAGAGAGCAGGGGACTGGGTAGATCTATTATGTGCTTTTTTGCATAAAATATTTTAAATACGGTCTCTTTCCGGAGTGCCTCACCTCTACCTGCTCTTCCCTGACTTTCATCAAGAATAAAAATTTAGATGGAATTAGCCAAGTGTAATCTATCTTTTCTCTAGAACTGAAGCTGTATTAAGAGATGCATAAGCCTAGCTGGTAGCAAGAACGTAGGTGAAATGGAAAGTTAATAAAAGGCAATAAAAATACCTACCTGGAACACGGTATAGTAATTATTTCAAGTTAGAACTCTGCG